GATGGACGCGATATGTGGTGTTTGTTGTGCAGGACCGCCTACTACCACTTCAACCGCTACAACGAAGCTGCTGCACATAATGGAGAACCAAGCGCTAGACAACTCAGAGCCTGGCGATGGTGGTGGTAAGGCTTGTAAATTTCTCCTCGTCTATTCACGGCATCACCACCATAAGCCACCATCGTTCATGAGATTTGGAAACTTTGACAAGATCGATAGTGTTGTCTTTCTTGCGTGTGAGAATTCCAATTCCCAAGCATTCCACGCTCGAATTTGCTCTTGTAACGCCTGAGAATCACTTTAGTACCCCGGGGCCGTCGTTTCTTAGCAAAGAATCCGAAGGACGCACTGACAGAGAGCACACCGCTGAAAGATACGTTTTTCTTGTCTTCTCCATTTCTTCCTAACCCCCTTTTCTGCGGGCTGAACTACCGGCTGAGGGAAATTCACGTGTGTATTCGCCGAAAGGATTATACTGTTCTAGCGGGAAACAGGATGTTAGAGACAACGGGAACGGGTTGGATGGCATAGCGTGTCGAAGCCAATACCTTTTCAATGTTGGATCTTCACGTTTTCGCGGACAGCTTTATAGACAAATGTTTTACAGTAATGTTTGAACAGGACAACCGGGAGACCAATAAATTGATCGGGACGTTTTTCCAGTTGTACAAGCCAGAAAAATCGTTCGTATTATTACCGCTTTTCACTCGAGAGGCGACTCTCGGTCGCAATTTCGTTCAATGAAATAAAATTAGAAATTACATAAATTCAATATTAAATTGTGTATTCACCCACGAAACACTGAAATAATATAGTTCTGTCCCTGAAGGTATGCAACATTTTTCCTGATATGAATTGCAGAAAGTGTCGTTGATATTTCATCAGAAAATATTCAGTGTTTAGGAGAAAAATATCATCGAATGAAAAGGATTAAGTATCTGTCGTCAAAGTTATTTTCATATGCAATCTAGACGACCTTTTGACCAATTCTATGGGAAATAAAACGAGACAATGGACAATTAGCATGTCAATAGGTATAGGATATGGTTGTTCTTAATTTTCTTTTTTGCAAAATTAAAGAATAAAAGTAACATTGTTCATATACCGTTAAAAAAATCTTTAAATAATCTGTATTATTGTTATTTCTTTGTAAAGTATTAAATATATTTTATATTTTACTATGCTGTTTATATCATTTTCTAATAATATATTCCAGAGAACAGATAAATTATTTCGTCTTTTCTATGGATTAAGAATATTTATTATTATGATAATATTTTGTTTTGCTATTCTACATTCTTTTTTCGTAACTTTTATTTTTGAAAATGTTGTAAAAATCAAAAACAAAACAAAATGGTCCCTTTTAAGCTTGATTTGAATACGCGGAGCAGATTGAAAGAACTTTTATGATTATACACGTGAATTTCATTTCAGTGGGAGAGGTTGTTTGCTTCTAAACACACTTGGAACAGCTTACCTTTGGCATCGTGTTTTCTGCACTACATTGCACTTTGACACCTGTTTTGAGGCACCAGTGCTGCTCGATGCTCTTGATAATGTTAGAATAGTCATAGGTGCAATCGTAAATCCTAGGTTTCACTGCTTGCATTTAATCTCCGACTTTATCTACATCCTCTACCTTTAATTACACGGGAAACGTGGAAAAGAAGGGTGAAATACTCGAAAAATATCCGTTTCGTTTTTACTTAAAACCCATTTTATCTTCATTTTAAACACAGAAGAGTATAAGGTAAATATTAACTCGTAATCATTTCAAGTAATCGTCTATATTATATGGATCTCGCAATTATTATTTCCCTGTTACTGTATCAATTTCTTTTCATTTTAACTGTTTTTAAAAAGAAAGAAGATATTGAAGTAATTTCTTATTTAGAGAACGTCTAAAATAATATTCACATCCTTATGAATATTCCAAGGATGTTAATTGAAATTCACAATTTATAATTATTTTGAAATTATCACTGATAATAAGGCAATTTTGTTTACTTTTGCTACAGTAATATTTCTTACAATGTAATCATTCTTTTTTTTTCCTCAATCGACGACCAATTCTATCTTCCCAAAGTTCTCGAAAGATACTTCCGCATTTCAAGCTCGCTGAATACTAATAACGATCATAAAATGTTTCCTTATTCCACTAACACTCTCGTTTTCGTTACAATTGCGTGGCAATTATGTCAGTTATGCCGGCAGATTAATTTGCATATCGTATGACAGATAACGCGGCACAATTACCAGACCTAGTAAATAAATAAACAAGAGCTAGTTTCCTTAACGGGGCACGTAACTAAGCTACGTTTCTTCATAAATATTCAATCAGGATTAATGTTTGTAGGAATCTACTTGCGGTAAATAAGGTCCGTAGAAACGCCTAACGGCTTCCAGAGAAATGAAATACAAACAGTCATTGAATAAATATGCCAGGAACTTACTTTAGCTCCAGAAAAGATCTTTTCTTCCATTAAACAATTTCATTCAACATTACGCGCCACGGGAATTGTAAAAACGCGATCAATCTTAATGAATATTATAAATTCGTATTAGTGGATGCTACGATAGTATAAAATAGCTGAAACAAATCGAATATGTTAGAAATACGTTGTAAACATTTGTAATTAATTCTCAAAAAATAATCAAATATTTTTTAACTGTCCGATTCACGCGTCAAACGCCAATAATAAAAATTATTTAGAAATCCATATCACATTGAAAAATGTTCTTTATTCGAAATAAAGAAAGTTTCTTATTAATGGATTTGAAGATTAAATCAAATTCTCTTTCTTCATTCCTATGCTTTACTTAATTTACTTGGTAAAAAAGAATGATGAAGGAACAATTATTATCCTAAACGGAATTTTACTTACATTATCATTCTATATGTTAGTGACAACGAATTATCCCGAAATAAACTTTTTTCCCTTAACTTTCCGAAGAAATTTCTGACGGTCGCAACGATGAAGCGACTCGCTCGTAACGAAGTACTTCAAAAACGAATAGCCGAGTTCCGCGGTCGGTATTATAAACGGATCATCCGAAATCCACTTCACCGAATCGATTTTTCATGATGCAATATTGCCTATGTTGCATTCCTCATTTCCTCGACAGATGTCTTATCTCCTTTCCGCTGCTCGGGCAAAAGAATACCAGGATGATTTTTTATGTACTGTTAACTTTTTTTTGTTGCTTAAACAAGCAATACTCCGCCGAAGCAACTTATCCGTGTGCTCTAAATATTATTCGCAGCGACTAATTCAAATTTCAATCAATAAAAATTGATTAAATTGTTATTACCATTTACTAAGCAAATAAACTCTTTTCAGTCTTGTAATTTCTGAATTCAATGTTACTATTAAAATCAATACACACATAGTATCAAAGAAAAATTACTCATATATTAAAACATGTAAATTAACCATTAACCTATGCTTTTCAACTTTTGTAGGCGAAACTACATATTTATTATCAATTTCTTTCTCTTCGATATTACGCTCCTAATATTCGAATTTAATATTAACTCTGAACAGTCGACAAGCTTCACTCTGCGTAAATGTAAAATATGTTTATTTCATTTCCCTTTATTATTCTTGTTATGATTTGAGACATATTCTCTATTTTGTTATATCAAAAGTCCTATCAATGTTTTCTTTACAGTTCAGTTAATATCCTGTTGTTTTCTAGCTGAAGTAAGTATTCCTGAAAAATATTTTACAGTTAAGAGTTGAAATAGTAATTGTTCCGTAGTTGCTAAAAAAGCATTGGTATTCGTTAATTACGAGGAAAAACGGAAGAATGAGGGAACGAGAGAGAACTAATCTGTTCGCTTTAAGGTAAATCGAGCATCGCTGATGGTTAATAAACTAGAGGCAACAGCATAAGTTCTATATGGTTTCAAGGGGTTGAAGGGAAGCGCGGCGTTTCCTCTTGAAGCTCATCAGCTGGCATTACCTGAGCTATGCTAATAAATAGCCGAAGTTGAGGTTGCGTTAATACGTTCTCCTCTTATATACTCTTGCTCGAATTTCTCCTCGGTGATATGCTATCAAGCACTCCGCTGATCCATATCGTCAGGAATGCGTTAAAGTTCCCGAACGCGCATCAAAGGGGCCAGCATGTAACTTTCTGCCCGCGAAAATTTGTAATACCGCTGAAACCCGGCTGGAAAAAAGGAACGCGAGGGAATTCTTAGGTAACTTTTATTGCCGGGGGATTACAGAATTCGAACCCCCGTTGAGTCGCGGGATCCCCGGAAGCGTGCCGGGATGCTTCCTGTATCGAGAAAGAGCCAGTTAAGTAACTTTAAACCGCGTTTCACCGAATAATAGTATTCCCTGTCATTATTTTGTTTCGCAGAATTTCTATCGATGAACGTATTATTCTTCTATTCAACGTAACTGCTTGTAACAAAGATGAAAATACTTTAATATATCAATATTAACACTATTTTTACAGAATGTGTCAGGAGATACCTTTTAAAACTTAAAATTATTTTCGAAGTTTAACCATTTCTCGTCAATTCATTTGATGACTTTTCTTAGAACGTTTATAAAATGAATTTGGCGGTAAATTTTTGTATTAAATTATATTCAATCATTTCATAGGCTTTATGAAAATCACTTCTTTTTAAAACTAGTTACATATATACAAAAAGCAGTAACAGTGGTGTTGAAAATGAAAATATAGTACTGGAGAGTAAGATTACTACTGTATACTATAATTACTGTATTAGGGTGAAGAATAATTTCGTGAATAATGGGAATATCTGTATACCTAAGAACAATTTTGAATATTTATTCCGCTGACATTGATATTAGAGTACCTGTTTGATGATTAAACAATTCCTTTAGCAAAATTTATTATATATTTTTATCTTGAAAGGAATTGTACTCATACACGCTCATCATTTATTGTTAGAAACTTTCTTTTTTACATTCACGCGTAACGGTACGACCTCGCGAATGAAATGGGCAACGCGAACAAAGAAGTTTAAAAGTTAATTTATACTCGTTATTAAGTTAACACAACTGGACGGTCGTTCTGACAATGTACACTAATTAGCCATGGAAGTTGGATCCTAGTTTGCATCAGGTAGCAACGTCAGTAGATCATTATCATATGGATATATTCGCTAACTATACAGAATCAACGGTATTCAATTTGGACGCACTGCTGCTTCTACGTGTAATTGTGGGGAGTATCTAAAGTCCTATTACAAAGGACTTATTAATCACTCGATATTGTCGCATTACAAATATCCTATGTTGATTTTCAAGCGATCGAGTATATACCATGGATTTCAAAAACTACACAAACGAACGAGATAATTTAATGACTTCAGAAGCCAACCAGTGTAAGTCACGTATTCATTTTATTTAGTAAAAGAATTTTTATTGTTAAAACCTTGAGTGAATAAAGTAGGTAACTGCTGTACTACTTACATAATTAAGTCGTAAGTACAATGGTAGATGATTGCATTATTAACCGATAGTTTTAATAACAGAAACACTCTTTAAAAGTTTCAAATGAAAATGTGTCTTACACCGTTTAACTTTTAAGTCCTCCATTTATACCTACGAATCATTTCGGTCCACTTACAATCAACTTTCCGCAACAATTCTCCAGTTCTCCATTCTTCTCAACAAACTTCCAAGGAAAATACAACTTATTTCAAAAGCTATATCCTTCCGTTACCTTTGAATAGTTTGGCCATTTCCCGATATTTTCGAACAATATTCTGCGCTAACGCAACTTTCTAGCACGTCTTTTGAGAAGCTTCTTTCGAAATATTCCTGTGTCATCGACCGTACTCGCGTCCCGAGATATTGAGGCAACCTCTACAACTGGCAGCCCCCGGATAGGGTGGCGATTAACTCGACCAGCGACCGGAAAAAAGTTTCGCAATGGAAACGTTTCCTAAGATAATAATGTCGACCACAGGTAAAACAAAGAAGCTCACAAATAAGAAAGTAATTAGCCGTAGACGGCGCGGGAGTTAATTCTTATTGCTAATGGAAACTCCCGGCGACAGAGGGTGCGAGAAGCAGAAGAAGAGATAAGGCGAATGACCCGGTTCGCGAGACGCACTCCCCTAATTTAAGGACATGCAGTTTACATTAGCGTGGCTTCCTCGCGCTGTGACTACGCGTAGCGGGGCCGGCCGGTTGTCACGGACAAAGTATCATAACCTTACGTCGCCGTATCTCATAAACTTTTTGGCGGGATCGTAATCAAAAGCTTAACGGCGGCCGTAAAGGAAAATGGTATCCGCGACCATTATTTTCGGTGGCGGCGGCGGTGGCTCGCGATTCCGACATTTTCTTCAAGTAATCTCATCGACATGTGTATTGGGGTCCAACGCATCGATTAACAGTTAACCGGCGTTACGGTGAAATAACAGCGCACGCAGAAAGCATGTTCATATTGATCGCGATGCTAAACGCGCGGCAAACGACAAAAACGGTGGATTCGCGGAGATAAATACAAATTGGCTTCCCGGGCGAGTGCGGTATTAATAACCGAGGATAGGTCGAGGCTTCTTCGGGACGTTACGCGCGAGCTGACTCCGTAATAAGTATTGATTGCTACAGGAATCAAAGGAAGAATCGACGCATGAATTTTCTTCATCCCGATAAGGAGATATTGCTTGCGCAAGGAGAAGCCGGGTTAATATCGGTAATAGAGAAAGGAGAAATATATAAGCGAATTACGTGGGACACTAGGTTTCGATAAACGGCAAAATACTGTTTTCGTGCTGCGGAATACGGCGAATCGGTTTCGGTGTTTGGAATCGAAAGCAGTTTTCGAGGAACCATTAATACATTACGGGCGGATGACGAGATATCTCAGGAATCTTGATTAGCTTTGATACGTACAAATTTCCACATAAATCACATTTGGAAATTCATGTAATTTTAAAACATTTCTTAAAATTAAGTCTTTTACACGGCAATATTTTTGCATCGTATAGCGACAAGTAAGTGAAAAATACGCAATGCAAACAAATTAGATGGCTCCTACAGTAATGCGTAGGTAAGCAAGAAATTCACTGGACCGCAACGTGTCAATAGTAATAGAAATGAAGACAGGAGTAAAGCATTTTGTCTAAAAAGCTGAATAAAGAATGTTTTTCTGTAGAAAAGGTATAGAAATAAACGTTTTAAAAGTTCTTTATGCATTTTCTTCTTAGATAAATAGTTATCTATTCATATTCGATTACACTTTCAAGCATTGCATACAATGGCATTATTATGCACACAGCTACGCACAGGCTCTTACGATACCAAGAAATTTTGCTGTGAATAGGATAGCTTGAAAATACATTCGAACTCAGTTCTACCGTTAGGTTAGTTTATTTCTATTATTTTTTAACATAATACCTGATATGATTGCAGGGAGCTTCGCTGGTCGAGCATCAACTAGCATCCTCTTAGTCATGTTGAATCTGGCATTTGTCAACTTACTGAATTAACCGATTCAGTACTAGGTAAGGGAACCGGTTACTTAGGGAATCAATTGTTCTATGTATTAAACGCTCCGATCTGAGAATCATCATTCTTCCATTTTAATAGACAAATGATAATAAAGAAAATTTATTTGACGTTATTAATTTATTCTCATTTTTGTTGCACGTATTTTTGCGAAAGATGGTACATGCTATGAATTTCTGAATGTTTCAATCTGATTCTAAAAAAACTTCAAAGAAAAATAACGTGAAGTTCGGTAACATCCAACATTGTTGTATACGAAACATGGTTAGAAAAAGTGTCTATATATTTTCTTGTTATTATTTTCCTTTGTCTAGTTCATTAAATTTTATACATGTGATTCATGGTACTGTTTCTTTTAATGCTCTGTCTGTACAAATAAACGACAATTTAACAACAGTGGATCCTTCTGGTTTTTTAAGACATTGTTGATCGGCAATTATATGCGGAAGCTATCCAACGTTACCGGTTGTTATTCCGCAAGTAATTATGAAAGTGAGACAATCTAAATAAATTTCATCATACTTTATTTAGACGTAATAAATTGAAATGAACCTTTTTGTCAATCACTTTCTACAAATGGATTATATATTGGCAAACCCTACTTTCATTACTAATATACTATCTACAGATATAATGTGGAAATTAACAACTTTTTATAAGGCATAAGACAAAATTTATACAAGAAATATGAGAACTTGAAAGTCCAAAAAGTATTCGTACACTTGTAATTATGATAGGAAGCTTATAATTTTTCAAGTTCCACTTACATTAATATTTCGCAACGCATTCCTTTTGCATCAATAATTGCTTGTAGCCTTCTTGCTGTGGATTCGACCAGTTGTTTAGTTAGTTCTTCTGATATTTTGGCCTATTCTTCCAGAAGCACTTGTTGTAAATCATTTTTGTTTGTTATTTTGATTTTCGTAGTTCTAAATTCAATATGTACCATGACTTTTCTATTACGTTCATGTCAGGGGATTGTGGCGGTGTAATTAACTGTTTGGGAATATTATACAACAGCCATTCTCTAGTTTTTTTAGCGATCTGCTTCGGGTCATTATCGTGTTGGTAGTAGTAGGTATCATTCAATCCTAACTTAGCTACACTTTCTAATAAATTATGACGTAACACCTCGATATAATTCATCGCGTTCATTATCTCATCGATAAACACAAGATTTCCAACACCATTGTACGGCATGCAACCCCATGCCATCATATTACCGCCACCGTACTTAAGGTTGCTATAAGATTTTTGGATTGCAGTTCAGTATTTGGTTTTCTTCAAATGAATTTCTTCCCATCCGAATTCGTAATATTAAATTTACTCTCATCAGAAAAAATAACACGTTTCCAAAATTCAATTGATTTATTTACATAAGTTTTAGCAAATCCGAGTCGTTTCTCTCTATTTGTATTACTCATAAACGGTTTTTTCCTCGCACTTCTACCGTATATCCCTGCTGAATGCAGAATATTTCTAATAGTTTGTGGACTCACAATCTTCTCAGATGTTGACGCGTTTTCACCGGACAATGTTCGAGCAATAACAAATGGGTTTTTCGTAACTTCTTTAATAAAGCTATGACGCTCTCTAATTCATAATTCTCATAAATCTTCTGGTATTTTCTAACAATGTATTACACTGCCATAAAAGGTAAATTTAACGTTTTCCCAATTTTTCTATAATTTTCCCCACCTTCTCGAAGGAAAATAACTCGATCGCGCATGGATACGGGTATTTAACGTTCCTTCATTGTTGTGATTTCTATGTGTAATTGAACGACAATCTGGTTCTAGGAGAAGACCAAGACCGCTATGTAAACAAGTACATATTTATGTTTCGACGATACGTGTGTATTTTTCTAAGAATTTAGCAGTAGAATCATATCTACAAATACTTTTTTGATTTTAAAACTTTCAGATTTCCTGAATAATTTTTTTTTACGTATTACAAAATTTTTTAATTTGTACATTATATTTTTCGAGAATAGATTATTAATAGAAGTAATTTTTATCGATGTATCATTCGTTTGTATAAAGTTATAAAAAAACTAGGTGTACGAATACTTTTTTTACCCACTGTATATTTCATGTAATTTTAAATAGTTTGCTGTTGCACTATTCTATATTGCTATGTGTCTCAAAAATTGAAACGGCTAATCTAAGTGGAAACATGAGTTAACTAGTGACCGGTCAAAAACGTTTGGGCCTAAAAACATGAGTTAACTCGTGACCGGTCAACAATGTGTTATGAGTTAAAAGGACTTTCGTACACAGAATTCTAATCGCGGAACGTTTAATTGCAGGTCGTCGCTTAAACGGAACCCCAAATCGAGTGGCAAACGCGTGTCAAAAGGTCAACCACTCCGACCTTTTATTTTGCTATGCCTAAGATATTCATCGACAGACACCTCGTATTAAATGTTGCGTCACAATCGCGGGAAGGAGCCAAGGCAACGAAGTTCGGCCGATAACTTGTCATGTTCATCGTTTGCACGAGAAAGTCCTGTTCATAACTCCATACTGTATACATTGTACGCGCTGTTTAGAGTGTTATTTGTATTGTGTAATTGAAATTTTAGAGCGTGACCGGCGTGATCGGAAACCAAAGATAATTCTAGAGGAAAACTGTTAAGCGTGAAAAGAAG